TAAAAGATGCCTCTCTCAGTCTCTCTGTACCGTGGGTACCCCGAATTTCCTGATATCTGCGCCGATATCCCTCTCTATTTGTTTGGCTTTGTTAATTTATGCTCCTTTTCTCTGGAAATGCAGCCTTCTAAGTGGGGTTACTCTAGCCCTGCATTCCAAGGACTGCAGGGGGCAGAGGCACTCGCCGGCGCGGGTGCGGAAGCGGAGCCACGTGCAGGCAGGCAAAAGCTCAAAATGCCTGTAATTCCTCAGCAATTCTTTTAACAAAACAAGTTCAGAATGTTGAAATATAAGATCTTATGTTTGTTCAAAGGCTGTCTGTCTGCTAGACAGAGGTTTCGTATGTGTGATTCCACCCCTTTTCCCCGAAACTGCCCTACCTGAGCTGCCTGGTAAGGGAATCGCCGAAAGTCCTTGGCTGATTGGTTTTAAGTGGAAACTGTCTCTTTAAATTTTGAGGAGCTCTGTGCACATTTGTAGTAGAACCCTCTGAGGGTGGAACTGGGGTGCCCACTAGCTCAGGCACCCCTATAGTCACCCAAATGGAGGTGCACAGACAGCAAGAGACCAGTGAACAGATACAAAAAAAAAAAAGAATGTCCACGCCTTTATCTCTGCGGTTCTGTCAGGCGCTTGTGCAGCTCTCATCCTTCCCCCACTTGGTCTCACTCAACATGGCGGCTCCCGGAGCAGGTGAGCATCTTTAATTAGGAAGCAATGGGTTTCTTGCTTCTGCTACAAATTCCCCCAGCTGTAAGCCTTCCAGTCTTCTAAATATTCCTTTATATGTGGTTCAGAGTTCTGGGACCATCCCCTGAGCCTGCTTGGTCCTGTATCCCATGTTGTTGCTGACAGAACTCCTTACTGCACTTCCACCCAATCCACCATCTTGTTTGTTCTCTCTCCATTATCTTTTAAATTCCTCAAACTTTTTGAAGCCCTCCTCTTACCTTACTATGTGAAATAAAGATCTCTTGGTTTTCTGGACTCAGTTTTGCAAACTTCATTAAGGCAATCTTTTTTTTTTTTTTTTTTAAATCTGTTTTCTCTCTATTTCATTTCATTTTATTTCTTTTCAAACTTTGTTTTGTGAACTGAGTGAATGTTTAGAGACAGGACATTAGTTTTACATTCAGCAGGCACTTTGTTTCATCTCAGTGATTACAATCCCCTCCAGGCAACAACAGTTACCCACTTCCTCCCTGGGACTCCTGTTCCCATTCTACCCACCTTCTCATCTCTTCTCTGCTTTGTCCTTAGGAAAATGTTGCCTTTTTGATTTTGAACGATTGACCATTCCTTGGTGAGCATGCCTGGCTAGTGGTATTGCGCCCCCATGCCCACCGTGTTTCATTTATTTTTTATTGTTGTTTCTAACTTGCCTCCTAAAGCAGTCCTTGAACCAGGACTCCCCCCATAACACCTCCCTCTAAGAAGCCATGGTTTGCCTTAGTGTCTCCCTTCATCCATCCATTCCTTTAGAGGGGTAGTAGAGCCTGCTGGGTGCCCAGCACTGGCCTGGACCCTGGAGGGCAATGGACAGATCAGGTTCCATGGCTCCTCATGGAGCTTCCATACATATAATT